AAATGCAATTATGTTGGTGGGAAAAACAAAAATATATGGGCCAAGATGTAATGCCCATATTAATGAAGCTAAATAAAAAAATGAGCATTGAATGTCGATTTGTTGAGCAAGTCCACCAACTTTTATAAAACGAGCATCACAAATTTCCTTCACTCACAACTAAAAAGAAAAATTTAAAGAGAAATCAAAGAGAATTGAGGTCTTGAGAGAGAATTTGCAAAGGAGTATCAAAATTCTCATTTAGTCACAACTAAAAAAAGTAAGGTGGGTTGGTTGTCAGAATCTTTGACGAGAAACANAAAAAAAAAAAAAAATTATTAATCGTCGAAATTACCTTTTCACTGATGTATTTTGTGATAGGGGTGAAGAAAAATTGTTAATTTTGAATTATATAACGTGAGACAATAGAATAGAGACCACCATGGATTCAAATATCATATCTAAGAAATTTCGGAGTTATTTTAGCAAGATGGTATTGTTGCTTTGAACATTATAACTTTTTATTTTTAACTATTTTTTTCTAAAATTTTAATAAGGTATCGATATTTTACTTATGTTCAAATAAGCTTTTACTAGATGCAAGGTATTTTAAATTCAAATGATTTTCAAAGAAAAACCGATCTGGTTTTATTTTCGAATTAGGGTGTTTCACGCTATCTTGCAAATATATATGTGTTTGGTGATAGCCGAGTCGGTTCTCACTAGATGATATGGAAACTCGAACTTTTGGCTACTCTTATTAAATCAAGATGCCAATATTGTGTAAAAATCCAATAGCTTTGACGGTTGATTGTTGGTTTACTATCAAGGGAGAGCATGTCGCATTGCTCGTTTGGGCGATTCCATCGTAATAAATCCTTGTGTAGTGTTGGTAGATTAGTTATCTTTTTTTCCCACGGTTTTTGGGAGGAAGAAGAGGTTTGTCGCAAAAAGGGTTTGTTGCATTGTTCGTTTGGACAATTCCATCATAGCAAATCCTGTGTTGTTGCTAGATTTGGTAGACGATACATCTCTTTATGGTTAGTATTTTGACAATAACGGGTATAATTTTGAAAACAAGACAACAGATATCATAAATTTTGGTAATACTCATACATTCGTCTTTCTAATATAATAAGTACTCTAATAATGAACCTTTCCTGTAAATGATTTTTCTCTTTTGAGTATTGAGTAATACAAATCACATTCCAAAAACTTGATCATGCCAAATCATTGATAGCTATGGGACCATCTAGAATATATGTAATTAAAACACAATAACAAACCAA